AAAAAATGGAGGTTGGCACACGATGTAAATACACTTGACACTCCTGAGCCAGACATTTAACTGATGGCTAAAATGGTCAGTTTTATAGGTCAGTTGAACAGTTTATCTTTGCCCTGCCAGACAAATTCCCAGACACACACGGGGATTTTGGTATCATACATGCTACCCATCCTCCAGCTACTGGTTAACTGGACATTGTTGGTGCCCGTTCTGCCCAAACGTCACTGCCTATCTTGCAATGCATAGCTCAGCCTGGCTCCACCATTCACTCAGATTCCCGGCTGCACAATATTCAGCCTCTCCTTGGTTTCCAGCTCTCTTGGGTTAACTGTCAGTGATTCCAGCTTCTGCTTCATGTCACCTCCTTTTTTGGAGGGTTTTGTTCTTATATTCTTGAGACAGTCTCACTATGCAACTCAAACTCAAGATCCTCAAGATGCCTGAGCCTCCCGAGTGGTGGGATTATAGGCCACCATGCATGTCACTTCTTGGGAAACTACTAGAACGAATGTAGAGCAAAATGCAAAACCACAAGAGAAGTGTATGGTGACATTTCTGATTCATATTTGGCCAAATTCTGTGGTGGAAAGGATTTGGCAAAAAGGCCTTTTTTCAATTCCCTTTTACTGCACATAGAATAATTTCCTGTTAGCTAACCTGCTGCTTTGAATTTAGGTTTCAGTGGTTTTAGGGTAAATATCCAAGGACAAATTCTCCAACTGAATACATCTGAGAGACAAATGATTCAATTGATAACTTTTCTGTGTATTTTACCAGTTTAAAATAAAAATTTAAGTACTAGAAACAAAGGAAGAAAGAATGCAAAACTGCACAAAATGCTTGTACCTATCTATGTAGGACGATCTTAGGGAAATAATAAAAAATTCCCACTTGTCTCTGAGTGATGAGACAAGGGGTGTTTCCCCTCTTATTTTTTTTCCATTTTCTCATTTTTTTAGGGTCTTATATTAACTGATTTTGTTTATTTAGAAGGTGTATATATAACTTTAAGAGCCCAGGACAGAACAGGTGCCCAGCAAACATCAACCTTTCTTGATGCCTTGGAGCCATGGTAGACAGACAGGTCCTGGCAACAGGCAGCTTTAAGACAAGGCAGAGTGGGGCCCCTTAGTCCCCTTCTCCATAGCCTCCTAAATGAGGAACCTCAGAGTCTCAGGACTGGGGAAGGGAAGAGGCACCAATGGCTAAGGGGACCCAAAGGGAAGGGGTGGGCCCAGCCCAGCTCTGTCTCACTGTTTGCCCATGGTGAGCCCCTCCCACCCAGCCATGGTGCCTCCACCTGCCTGGCAGGCCTAGAGAGGCACAGCTCCCCAGGGGCATGGAGATTTCCAAAGAAGCCAGAGCCCAGCCTTGAAGGGAAAGCGATGACCACGGGTCGGAGGGAAAAGCTCACACCTGTTCTCCCTTGGCCCCTGGTTAGTGCCCATCCCAATAGTGGGTAGAGGAACTCCCAGCAACAGATGTGGCTGGGCCACCTCCTGTCCTTACTTTTCCTTTTAACTAGCCCCAAATGGAGAGGACGTGGATCTCAATAAGACCTGGTCCAGAGCTAGATTTTCTCCCTTAAAAAGATGTCCAATTACACCTGAGCAAGGCCTTTGGCTATGCAGGGGGCAGAGTGTGGCAAAGGGCACTTCTCAGTACATGCCTTGCCTGGCTCAGTTTTTTGGGCCCTCCAGCTCTGGCACTAGGCTGTGGCACCCTTGAGAGCAAGATAACCATCGACTTGGACTTTGGGGGTGAAGCCCAGGCTTAGATCATTTCACAGAGAGCCCTACTCAGAAATCACTTGAAAAATCTAACTAAAATGAAAGGAAGGAGAAAGGGTTCAGGAAGGCAGGTGGACCATGGGGATATCCACCATCCATTCACCTAACCTATAAAGGTACTTGGCACTCACACTGGCCAACGCTGAACTACAGAGACCGCAGTTTGGCTGCAGAACCACTGGTCAGCTGAGGTGGGTGAGGCTGAACCCAGTCATCTCTGGGCTTGCTTGCACTTGTGACCCAGAGCTGGGCCGGGGTGTATGAGATGTGAGACCCTCTCAGCTGAGAAGCCTGGTGCTTGCAGCCTTGACCTCGTCTCACTGATGGGTCCTGCTCTGAGGTTCAGCCACAAGCTTCCTGCAGAGCGGTGATGCTTTTTTACCATGTGTGCACAGCAGAAATCAAATTATCCCTTCCCTCCCACTGTGGCCAACCCACCCCACCTCACTCCCACAGCGACCTGCCCCTGAATGCTCTGCCCTAGAGAAAAGCAGACTATAAATAAATGCTGTGTGGCCACAGGACAGAATTGGAAACAGAGGCCTAGTGAGCAGCAGGACTGTGTCTGTTCTCACGCTAAATGTCCCTACCGTTTCTGAGCCGTTGTATCTGCTTTTCATACTTTTTCTGTCTCCTTAGCTACCAAGCTACCAGTAAGTGTGACAGTGCCTCTACCAGCTCACGTTCACCAATGTTTACCTATCCCCAACTGTGTATCAGACAGAGCCCAGGAAGACCTAATTACTACATCTATAGAACTCCATGAACACGCTTGTTCAAACTGTGAATAAAATTGGAGTTTATAGGCCCTGATTAAAAGCTCTGAGGAATCTCCAATGAGTAAAATAGATGCAGTTTAATGAGAACTCTTATAACACCATCTTCGATACCTCAGAAATCACCCTTGCTTTTCCCCTTTCTGTGAGCTCAAGATAGAAACGGGACTGGCCCCCACCTGTGCTCTGAATAGATCAGGTTGCCAGATAACTGAAGTGCTCTGCTATCCGGTTCTGGGATTTTCTTCCACTATTTAAGGCTAGGTTTTCAAACAGTGTGCTGCCAGGCTACAGGGTGTGGGGACAGTGCCTTGGGCTGGAGTTAGGGAAGTTAGGAGAGGGGCCAAGTGGCTGGGGCTCTGTTCCTCACACACACCCTGGCAGACAGAGCAATATTACAAATTGACCTTCAGAATACTATTCTATCCGTATCGTCCATCTTCGTTCCTTTTTGGGAGGGAAGCCAGATTTTACCCTCTATTTTCCCAATGTGGTCCTAAGACCCAAAGATGCAATAATATGCCAGGTGGATAGAGAGAAAGATCAACCCAGGTCCTGAAGCCAGCCTGCCGGGGCTTGTGTACTCCCAGCTCTGTGACCTTAGGCAAGTCCCTTAAATTCTCTGTGACTTATTTCCCTCATCTGAATAATAAGAGTGACAACAGCACCTACTCCATGGATGTCCTAGGGGTTAAACAGTGAATATGCACATAGCCGTGAGGACAGTGCCTGGCACATCTTCTGTGCTCAGTAAAATTTCATATTCTGAGGCTGCTGAGTCCTGGAGAGAGGTGTTAGAACCTACAGCTCGGAGATAGGTAATGCTAAGCGACTGGAGGCATTGACCTGACTTAGGGTGACAGGCTCCCAGAGGCCACGCCCCTGTCTCTGCACTGGCCTTTCCTAGGGAAGCTGCTCCCTCACCCAGGCCCAGGGAGCCAGCCACAGAGGAGAGGAGTAACCTGGAGGCCATGAAGCCTGCAGCAGCACAGAGGCACTGCAAGTGCAGGGCTGTGGGCGGGATGTCACCCAGGAAGCTGCCAAGGGCAAGTGATTGCTGCTGCCACACCTGTCACCTTATCCACCATTCTTCTGCCCTGACCCTTCCCCTAGGGAAGGCCAAGCCCCTAGGGGTAGAATGGTTGGGGTCCCTGGCCAGCCCTGGACTGCAGAGTGGACTGTATTTCCTGGCCCTGCTCCTTTCTCCAACTTCGCATTCCAAGTCAGAGCAGCAGTGTGGTCCCCCCTCCTGGGACTCCGGGTGCCCGCCTGGGTCTTAAGTACCCTGGTCATCTGGATGGGCCAAGCCAGCTCTGCCTCTATCAGCTTCTCTGGGAAGGTCCTACTCCCTCTTTATAAAGATAGGGAAAGTGAGGTCTAGAGAGGCCCCAGATGCCCTTCCCCGGTGAGGCCCATTGCCTTCCGTGCAGTGAGAATGGGGGAAGCAGGCCTCAGCACATACGCCAGTCATGGGCCCCAAGCAGAGCTGGCCCAGGAAGAAAGGAAGGCCTCACTTGTTAGCCCTCATCCTCCTGGCTGCAGCCCCAGGAAAGAGCCAGGCTAGGGCTGGGGCAGAGCGGAGGGCCACAGTCCTCAGCCAGGTTGAAAGTGGCACCCTCAGGACAGTCACATTCCCCAGCTCTAACCAGAAAGTTCTCAACTTGTCCCCAAGAGCCACGGGGGACAGTTAAGCTTGAGGAGCAGAGGGAAAGCTGAAGAACAAGTGGAAAAACCAGGGGGGTGGCAAAAGAGCCCAGGCTGTGTGGCCCGGCCACACCACTGGCCAGATGCCTTTATTTTGTGGGCAAAAGGACTTGATTTCCATGTGTGATGAATTTGAGAAACCAAGGGAGGACCCCTGAGGTCTGTGGGGGGTCAGGGCGGAGGGCAGGGAGGCTTGAGGTTGAGCAAGGGAGAGAGAATTGCCCTGTGGTAAGGCTGCAAGGCTGGGCTACAGTGCATTTCCTTCCATTATCAAGATGGAGAAACTGAGGCTCAAGAAACACAAAGTGACCTCCTCAGCCTGTAAGTAACAAAGCCAAGACCAAAGTTGGTTTGTCCCCAAGATTCTGACCTCTCCCTTATCATGCCTCCTCATCGGTCCTCCTCATTAAACTCTCCTGACAAGCTCCAACCGTGGGGAGGGGTCTCCCAGGGGAGAATTAGCCCTGGGAGTGCAGAGGGGGTCCTTCACCCATGGGGGTAACATCTGCAAGGAGATCAATATCCCAGCCTGGCAACCTCCCTTTGTTTTTCAACTCAGAAGGAACCGTGGCCCAGTCTACCTCCCCGACAATTAAAACCAAAATTCAACCACAATTTTTATGAGAAAACTCCGGTGTGGTGCCCAAGCCTCATAACCAGCTGTCTTGGGACACTTGGAGCCCTGCTGGACCCGGTCCCCCTGCTCCCCACCCCCGGCCATCCCACTCACCCAGAAGGCATCTCGGAACTGCCGTTGAGGTAGCATCCTCGGGTGTTGCTGTGGCAAAGCTCCCACTCCTGCCTCAGGCAGGGCTGAACATGGGCCAGGAGCCAGGAGCACCGTCCCAGTCCCAGTGGCTCAGCTGGCCTGAGCCGTCTGCAGTGCTCACAAAGCAGCCACAAGCCAGAGACAACTGCCGGAGGAAGAAGGGCCCAACCTGTTTTGTTTGGGACTAGAATCAGCAGTGAAATGAGGAAGGCGCCCTGGCCAGTGATGGGAGGGCCAGCCACTGTGTCCTGCCCGGCCCCTTGCCTGCCCCAGGAATGGACATAGGCTGGGACCCAGAGCAGGGAGTGGGATGCCAGGACAGGAGCCAGGGGAGAGGCAGACACAGGCAGCCTGAGGCCTGCACAGGAAGGTTTGTGCAACCTCCCCCAGGGGCAGGCCCAGGGCCCTGGCCCACAGGAAGTAGAGCTGCTTTGCTCTCCTGTGAGGCCCCGCCTGCCACCTGCCACCCTGCTGCCTGCCTCTGCCTGTCCCCTGCACATGTCCTGGCTCAGTTTATTCTTTGAGCCATTTAGGGAGCTGGTGGCCCAGGAACACCTGGGATAATTGCCCACCAGCCCAGGCCCCAAGAGGTTAGATTTTTGGGGTTCACTGAAGTCTACAGCTACCATTCATCCAACTCTGACTGCTCTGGCCCAGACAGGTCCTGCCATCACAGAGCTCACAGTCTAGGCAGACACGGCTGCCTTTCAGAGGCTGTGGGAGCCCAGAGGTGCTACAGTCTCCACCCACTGAAGATGGTGTCTTCAGACTTCATGAACTTGTTTGGACCTAGAGACAGGAGTTGGGAGATCCAGGCTGAGGCCCAGTTTCTGTTTAGTTTGGGCCTTACTGTTCAGGGGCTGATGGATCCTGAGTGACCTTCGAACTCCTTGAGCCTCAGCCTATTATCTGCCACTTTAAGTCTTTGGAAAAAAGACTGCGTCAAGAATACTTCTGGAATTTCCTGTTCGGTAAGACAGGTGCTGGGGAAGACAGGGGATTCCTACTCAGCAGGAGAGCCCAGGTGAGCTGGTGAAAGGATGAGTCAGGGATTGTTCACAAATCACCACTCTCAGAGATCTCTGCCTTAACAATTGACTGGGCCGATAAGACAGATGAGAAAAAATAGCTAAGCTCCAAAAGTGCCGGTTACGCATGCCAGGGTTGAAGGAGATGAAGCACACCCAGGTTTCTGCAAAAGCCACCCAAGAAAGAGCACATCAGAGAACTTCAGAGCAATGGGAGGGCTTCCGGGAGACCTCCAGGATCCTTGAACTTGAGCCATCTTTGGTATTACAGCACCAAAAGTCAGGCTTTCGTTACTTGTGCGGATGGCTAGTGTAAAGTCATCTGTCCCAAAGGCCACCTGCTGAGGTTGCACCTCTCCTCATGGCTCACCACTTCTAATAGCACTGATGACCTGACCTCCCCCAGTCTCCCTGAGCCCAGTTTCTCCATGAAATAGGGCGAGGACCTCTAGTTCTGTGGGAGACCAGAAACCCTGTTACTAGAAGCCTCCTTTCCATTGGCACGAAGCATCACAGTTTGGCTCCCTTCCCTGCCTCTCCAGCTGTGTTCTAGCTCCTCCCACTTGTGCCCTGTCCCCAGAGGCACCCTTCCCACTCCACTTCCCACACCTTTGCTTCTCTGTCCCCAGCCCCCTTTCTGGCATGTGTTCCTTGATCTTCCTTCCCTGGCAAATGGTCCCACCCTTCCAGCCACCCCCCCCACAGGAGGTCTGCCTTTGCCAATTGCACTGGTGCAGCCAGGGCAGCACCAGCCCACTGGCCATCCTGGTTTGTGGGCTGGAGCAATTGGGGAAGGAAGTAATGGGAGTAACATCTGAAGTTCTCTGCTAAAAAGTTGTCTTCCTCCTTTCTCTCCTCCCCCCCTTATCATTCGCAGCTTTTGGGCCTGGGCAATCAGAACAGCAAAATTGGCTTTGCAGCACTTACCAAGGTGTCTCATTAAGCTTCTTGCTTGACCATCTCACTTTGTCCTCCTCCATCTGGAGCTCATCTTTTATAGATGAGCAAAGTAGTGATTAGTGTATGCAAGCCACCCAAGGTCTCAGGGCTGGTCAACAGGGCTGGTGTGGTCCCAGGCCTCTCTGACGCCAGAACACGTGCTCATAACCTCCACCGTTACCTTTTGCCAACAGGGCTCTATTAGAAGGGTTTCATCCTTCCTTTCTCTGGTTTGGGCTCCAGAACTTCTCACACCAATGGATGGAAAAACTGAACCCTAGGAGGCTGTTGGGGCTGACTGTGCTATTGGCATGAGAGTCCAGCCTTGGCATATGCTCTTCCATATTCCCTGGGTCTGTGCTGAGGATGCCTTTGACTGCAAGGAACATACACCAGTATCCGCCAGGAGGCCGCATATCGTCAGTCACACACGGGGTCTGGAGGCAGTGCCTGCGTTCTCTAGGTGTGGTATGACAGGGCTCCAGTTTCATTTCCCTGAGTTTCTCCTGCACTGACCATCTTCCTCCTTGGAGCTGCAGCAGCCCAAGTCTAGGCCTCCAGATGCAGGAGAGGGCAGGAAAGGGACACCTGTCTCATTTTCTCCAAAGTCCTGCCCCTAAGCCTTGCTGGAGAACTCTCCTGGTGTCTCATTGGCCGTGTGTGGTCCCAGTGTTCACACAGCACCATCATTGCCATGGGAACGGGATCCTTTTGCAGGGCTGGTATGGACCGTGAGAGCCACCACAGTGACTACCACAAATTTCTCCTTAGGTCACAAATGCTGCTGACCCCAATCTCAGCAAAGCCTGGCAGGAATCAGGTCTGGGAGGCAGACCTGATTTCTTCTTCGAGGGGCCCAGAGACTAAAAGACATGTTCTAGAAAGAGCTCTCTGTATGAGGAGTGACTTAGAGGAGCTTGGAGACCAAACAGGGTGTTGTGATCATTCTGAGAGTTGGATGAGGCCTGGATGGGACAACTGAGGTGGATGGGTGGCTTAGTGGGACATCAGAGAGGTGGAGGAGTAAAGGAGGAGGACAGAGACATCCAAGAGCCCCTCAGAAAAAGGCACTGTATGCTACAAGGGCTCTTGTGATACTGGCCACAAGCAGGCCCAGCCCCTGGGGAGGAGAATCTGATTTTGAAAATGACAACATTTTAGTGACTGTTCTGCTACTTCAAACTACAATGTGCTTTGAGGTCCCGGCAGCTGCACCCCAGGCCAGGCTGTGGGGGAGAACCACACCCAGGCGAGCCCTGGCCTGTTTTGCATAGTATTTGAACGTACCTGCTTGAAGAATTCAAGAAGTAGTAGGTCCAGGGATTGAGAATAAATTGCAGAATCAGTGGTTACAGCACCGAGGCTCTTGATGCCATTTGGCCTGATTTTCTGAGCCATGGAAGCAACAAAAAATGAAACTGGCTACTGTTTGGGGAGTGGTAATACCCATGGTGTTTTTTATTTGCTCTTTAATGCCACACTTCCTTGGCCACAGGGACATTTGTGGAGCAAGTCCCATCCCCACCTCTATCAGCAGCTGGGTTTCTCTGCCAGGTATCAGTTTGGCCTGCGTTCTCCAGCTAAGGATGGGAAACTGAGCCAGGCACCCCCACTTCCAGTGGACCTGTCTCCCCCCCGCCCACGGCAGATGGGCCAGGTTGCCAGGGTGTTGCAAACACCATGCCAGGATGCACTGGGTACCAGGCCAAAAGTATACCTGCTGAATGCACCATGTGTTATCAGCCTAGGCTGGGGACAGCACGGCCACACCTCAGGCTAAGAGCTACGGGGACTGTCCTCAGCCCTGGCAGGTGTTGCCACACCTGCACCCAGACCCCTGCTGGAGACAGAAGGGAGCAGGGGTTGCAGGCAGGAGTGGGGAAGGGGAGGCTGAGAGCTAGTCCAGGGGAAGCAGTGGTAGGTGACCACATCGGAGCCAAGCCTTTGGAGCATGTGCATTGTCCCAGGACACTGCACTTAAAAATCACAAGGTCATGTACAATGCCATTGGGAACTGTAAGACAGCAATGTCAGGGCGTTAAGTTCCAAGTCAGCTCCCTTTGGAGTGGCAGCAACCTGTCCTCGCTGTGCATCCAGGAGCCCTGGGCATCTACTGTCTGCTCTCCACATAGCATAGTGACATTTTCAAATCCAAATCTGTCGCTTTGTTCTCAGGACATGACCATTGTCTTTACATAGACTGCAGATCTGGCATGACCTGACTCTAGGCTACTCTTCAAAACTTCAACTCGTACTACTACTCTCGCAATTTCTTGTACTTCTTCCTACAGTTCTCCAACTTGTCTCTTTCTCTTCTACCCCAGGCCCCTCGCACATGCTCTGCCCTCTCTCTGCCTGGAGGGTTCTCCTATCCCACCTCACCTCTGTCTTGGCCCAGCTAACTGCTCTTCATCCCTCACCACTTACTCAGTGGCCCCTTCTTCACCTTGGACGATGGACTGATGAACAACATATAGACAAGACTGAAAGCAAACACACACCAATTTGAAGGAAGTTAGCCAAGCTCTCAGAGACTGAAAGAGAAGAGGTCAGGGTAACAACCCTCAGAGGTGGAGCAGATACTAGGCTGGAGAGCTGGGCTAAGGGTCCTGGGGTCCTCACTGAAATCCAAGAAGAATCTGAAGCAAGAGCTTGGAGCCTTTTGGACAAGGGAGGGGCCTGGAGAGGGAGGGGTGGGAGAGGAAGAGGAGGCTGGCAAGATAGAGCATCTGGCATACTGGGGTTTGAACTCAGGGCCTCATGATTGCTAAGCAGACGCTCTACCACTTGAGCCACTCTGCCAGCTTCTTGGTGACATCAGGGAGCAAGGACTTCATTTGGTAGCAGCACTGCCTCTGGCCCCCTTTCAGTGCTAACAACTGCCTTGATGATCTCTGCATCTCTTCAGCAGGCCAGGCCACACACACAGCAGGAGGGAGGCCTGTGTCCTGGGGGAGCAGCTGGACATGCTAGCAGGCTGTGGCCAGAGGGCATTTTTGAATCAGTGTTCAGACACCTGCCATGGCAGAATTAGATGTCCCAGTACCTGGCCAAGTGGTTCACTGCTCCCGAGG